AGAAGAATATTATACTAAAAATTAAATCAAAGCTGTTGCTTATCAATAAGAACAATCAGGAAGAGAAAGAGGAAAGATCGCTCTGGAAATAACACAAGAGGCTAGATTATATTCCCAATGAAATATTAGTGTTTCATGGGCCTGGGGCCAGGAGAGACTAACATTTAAGCAGCATTGAGTGTCTTTAGACCCCAAGCATTCGCTATATGTACAAGTTCCATTGTTTGTTTGAGTAATGGGACAACAGAATTCCCGAATGACTAGGCAGAGTTGAGCTGAGGGAAATTGAACAGACTGTCCACTGAGGAGCCCAGCAAAATAATGAACCTCATCTGGAAACTTTGGCTTTTGATACCAGGCCAGTTCTGGCCCAAGTACATAAAGAGTGGAAAATAACTTTGCTTTCATGGCATGCCTGGTTAGAAGTAAAGCACTTACTGACCCTTTGAAGTAGAATCACAGAAATTAAGAACAGCTATACACCCAAGATTCTCATTCTTGGCATTATTGACATTTTTTAGTTGGATACTTTTTTTTTTGGTCAGGGCTGCAAATTCTCAGGCCCTACTCCAGGCCTACTGAACTACAGAGTGAAAGTTGGGCCACCCCTCCACATGAATCTAAGGTTGGCTAAAGTTTGAGAAATAGTAATCTAACTCAACTCCCTCATTTTACAATTCAAGGACAACAGAGGCAGGGTAAGTAGTGCCTACCCAAGATCCAACAGCTGGTTAGCAGCCAAAGCAGTACACCATACCTCCTCCTCCAGAGAGGTTGCTACCAGTCGCCTTTCAAGAATGAGTGTATATCCTGCAAGGATAGTTCATCCCAGCACCAGCCATGGTGATGACACACGAATCCTCTTGCACAGCAGAAGACAGTTCAAGACTGGCTGAATATGTTTCTCAGATTCGCTCTCCCAGGTTTCCACGTTTCCCAGGCTTTCTGCAGAACACTTCACTTTTACTGACACTATTTTTCTAAAGATATGTTAATAGCATGATTAGTTTAAAATGAGGCTGCTTTATTGTGTTGTTTCTTCTTAACTGTTATCACCAGATCCCTATTTTATTATGGAGTTAGAAGGGGCCTTCTTTTTACAACCATAGTAATTATTACTGTTATTGATGTTGATATAGATATATGTTGATTTAGGATTTTAAACCTTTCTGTAAGGTTGACTGTACTTGACAAAACCTTCTCTTGATTGCTTATTTAAAAAATAGATTACTGTGCAAAACTCACTTTTATCCCTGGTAAATGAGTATAGATATATTAAATAAAAAATAAACCACACCTATTTTCCCAGTGTTTCTGCTCTATTTAATAAAAGATAAATGCACACCTCACCCCCAAACATTGTTAAACCACATCCTGACTTCTCTGCCCATACCCTCTGAGTTAATTTTGTGGGAATTAAGTTCTCTAAGTCCAAAGGAGAGTTGTGAGGCCCACTTGGTTTGCATGGAAAAATGAATGAGCAGGGTAAGGGCTGGTGAAACATCTGTAGGAGGATGGCTGCTCGTGGATCTGTTGCTCAAGAGGCCAATGAGGGGGGAAGTCACAGTCAAAATGGGTCTGTCTGCTGATAGTGACCCAGAGAGAACTTTCCAGACCAGATTCATGCCTAAAAAACTCTTTAGAGATGGTAAATTTTCTTTCCCCTTTTAGTGTTATCTGTGCAATTTCTGAGAATAATCTTGTCGATCTGAGTACACGTTTATATTCAGATTTCCAAGAACAATAACATAAAATTATATAAATTGTGATTGATTTACAACTGTATTGTTATTTAAATTGCCATCCTTTGAAATACCTCTATACTGAGAGGGAACGATCAACATTTTGTTGACTATCTTTTCATAGATCTCCTTATGCAGGCATGTGCGTGCACACACACACACAGTTTCACATAAACAGGGCTATAAGCCTGATGCTTTATCATGAACACTTATTGTGTTTAGTCTTTTTCCCTACTTTCTTTTTCTTTTCTAATTGCCTTCATCCCTACGATAGGCAGCCTTGAAAGCTTAATGTATATCTTTCCAAATCATTTTTCATTGTACAATCATATACACATATATTCATATATATATCACATTAGTAAAATAATGTGTCAAGTGGAATAATAATTACATTATTATGTCCAGCACATACAATAGAACCAAGTATTTAAAACAGTGCCTGAAATTACAGATGCTCAATAAATATTTGTTGAGTGAATTATCAATTTGCTTTATAAAAATAGGATAATTATATATGCATATAATAATTTTTATATAATGATTTTCACATAATTATTTATATAATTATCCCATCTAGGTCATCTCCATATATATTTAATTAATTCTCATGAATGACTGCATAATATCTCATGGTTATGAAGGTAACATCAATTTACTTATCTCTAATAAATAGTTAAGATGGTCCCGCCGGTGTGGCTCAGTGGTTGAGCGTCAACCCATGCACCAAGAGGTTGCCAATTCAATTCCCAGTCAGGGCACATAACCAGGTTGTGGGCCCAACTGGGGATCGTGCAGGATGCAGCCAATCGATGTCCTATCTCATTGATGTTTCTTCCCCTCCCACTCCCTCCCATGTCCTCTCTCTCTAAAATCAATAAAGGAAAAAATGTTTTTAAGAAAAATAGGATGCTTTTATTTTTTCTCCACTATAAATAAATAATAGCTAACACCTATTAAGTATGTACCATATACAAAGCACTTTTTTTTTAGCACTTTACATGTATAAAGTCACTGAGTTAGGTTATTCTGTCCATTGTAGGAAAGTGAACAGGGATGGAAAAATATTTTCCCAAGCCTATATAGCCAGTAGGCACTAAACTAGTCAGTGTGGCTCCAAAGTACCTTTCACTGAACCACTTCTATATAAGACAGTCTTCAACACAATAGTGCATACATCCTAATAGTATGGTGCTTTATTTCTAGTTGACAGTTTCCCAGGAGTGAAATTATGGTGGAAGAAGATATAGATAGATAGATAGATAGATAGATAGATAGATAGAGATAGAGATAGATATTATATTGATAGATTGCTTTGCAGAAAGGCAGTAACAGTTTACATTTCCACCAGCCTGTATGAGATTGCTCTTTCCTCCTGCAGATTATCATTAAAAATATTTTTATAATGAGGTTGAGCATAATATGTTTATCAGTCATTGGATGTGCTCTACTGTAAATCATGGCATTAGTCAGGGTTCTCCAGAGAAACTACACACACACACACACACACACACACACACACACACACATATATGAGAGAGAGAGAGACAGAGACACTAGTTATGTGATTATGGAGGCCTGGAAAGTCCAAAATCTTCAGGATGGGCCAGCAGGCTGGTAACTCAGAGAAGGGTTGCTGGTGCAGCTTAAATCCAAAAGCTATGAGGTTAAAATCCCAGTCACTCATGGTCAGACTACTAATAGAGCTACTAATGGTCAGACTGACTAGACTTGAAGTCTAACTCACTACTTATTAGTGACTGAGTTCCTTAAACAAATATAATAAAAACCTGCTTCCTAGGGTTTCTGGGAACATTGAAGAAATTGCTTCTTACTTTATAACTTTCATCTATTTGTTCTATTATAGGGATTTGTCGGGGTTTTTGTTTTTGTTTTTGTTTGTTTGTTTGTTTGTTTTGGCAAATTGTATGAATATAGGAATCAAATAACTTCCTGTCATTTATAAGACACATAGGATAAAAACAAAGAATTAAAAAAATATTTTAAATATGTTTTTACTGATTTTTTTAGAGAGGAAGGGAGAGAGAGATAGAAATATCAATGGTCGATAGAAAAATCAATGTGAGAGAGAAACATTGACTGGCTGCCCCCTGCATGCCCTCCACTGGGAAACCCAGGCATGTGCCCTGACGAAGAATTGAACCAGGATCTTTAAGTCCATGGGACAAAGCTCAAGCCACTGATCCACACTGGCTGGGCCAAAAATCTTAATATAATCATGTGCCTTGGGATCTTCTATCCCTAATTAAGTCTGTTTTCCACAGGTACCTCATAAGAATCTTTTATAGAAGATATACCAGGGTGGATTTCAGATCATTGTTTCTCTTTCACTAATGTGAGGAATTAAACCTATCAAAGACTTTTTGTACTTGTGCTGCAGAAAAACATTTTAATTGGCAAGCAATAAGACCAATCATCAAAAGAAGTATTATCTTTAGCAAGTCTGAGAACTTTTAAATTCCTAGATGTGTGGAGATTTGTAGTAGTGATGAACCTCACATTTTGAAGTCACCAATATGCAGTGTTGAGATAGGCTGGAGTTAGTCATTTTGGGAAATCTTAGGCTAGATTAAATACTTCAGAAGTGTTGCTTAATTACTATCCCTCTAGCTTAGAAAGAGAAATATCAAGACCTTAGAAAATCATCAGAAACAAGGATTTTGAAAACTTACCTTCCAAAAAATTACCAATCTTGTTTTCTTTTCAACTTCGGTTTTCTTACCTTATAACTTTGATTTTAAGGATTAGAAATAATGCGCATAAAGTACCTTGCACAAAGTAATGTCACAGTAAATGGTAGCTATTACTGTCACTGAGAACCATATATTCTCATATTAGTACCTTCTCCCCACACCTACCACATATTTGACTATCATATAAATATTTACCAAATGAGTGACATCAGTGATAACCAGGTTGCACTCTGCGGCCAAACCCTGGAGTCCATCCTCAGCAATTGGATACTGAGGCCAGGGGAAGAGTACACACAAAACCCTTCTCTAACTTGCCCACAGAGCCAAACTACAATTCCCAGCATGCAGTCAAACTCCGTGGTTGCAGTGCATCCTGGAAAAGAGGTCTGTGGCTTTCTATGGGCCAAGTGAGAGAGCGCTGTAGTTTGAACCAATCCGCGGGCTCTAGCGTAGGCCCACACAGAGACTGCGCAGATCTCTTCGTCTGAGTTCTGCGGAACTCATTTTGAGTGTAGGGACTTCAGCCGGAAGGATTTAAGAGCCGTTCCACTTCCGGTAACAACCGGAGCAGTCTGACTATGGCGCCCTCCAAAGCGAACGGGCCAGCAACAGCGGCTGGGGACAGTGAACTTCGTAAACAGAAGTCGAAGCCGGAGGACCGAGGTAAGGTCGTGTGAGAACCGAAGCCTGGCTTTCAGTGTTTAGTTGCGATTGCTTTCTTCGCTTGCTGGGGACCGGTAACGCCGCCAAATGTCTGTTCTCTCAAGTCGAGTGCCTGTAATTGTTGGTTTTTAGGGTTATTAGTCGGGTCTGCCAAACCATCGGGCGGATATGGTGCCGGTCACGTGTTCCTAAGTAACCACCTTTGCTAAAGGTCCCCAAAGTGAAGGTGTTGCTGCGGCGTCTTCTGTAAAATGATGAGGATTAAGAAATTTTGGAGGGCGTTGCGGGACCTTAGACTTGCGGCGATGGCTGGAAGTCGTTGACAAAATAAAGGAAGCCCTAGGAGTAGGAGGTTATTATATATTTGAGTGAACGCTGATAATGAAGGAGTGAGACTGGCATAGTGATAAGGAGAAGGAGATGTCTGGCTAGTGTGTGAGTTCCTGAAGACATGTTGGAACATTTATCATTATTCTTGTTTGTCATGTTGCTAACACGGCTTCTACTATTTAGACTGCCCAGCTTTTAAATTGCTGTCTAGTCTTGTTTAATTCTGGTTTTATCCATTTTCTTCAGTATTAATGACAGGAAGAGAGGTTAGAGAAGTAGCCCTGAGCCTCAGCAGCCATTCTTATTGGACTTGGACTCTCATTCTATAGGAAGTTATTAAAGGTGTTTTGTTATTGCTTATAATTATGAACATACATAGCAGAGTACAGTATATGTACTGCTTAAAGAATAAAACCAACCCTGGCTGGTTTGCTTAGCGGTTAGAGCCTCGGCCCGCGGACCAGAGTCCCAAGTTAGATTCCGGTCAAGGGCATGTACATCCGTTGCTGTTCCTCCCGGTGGGGGTTGTGCGGGAGGCAGCCAATGGATATTTCTACCCCCCCCCCCCCCTTTCCTCACTCCCTCCTTCCCACTCTATCTGAAGGTAAATGGAAAAATATCCTCCGGTGAGCATTTTTAAAAAATAAAGAATAAAACCAACAGGGGAGAAAGAAGTTCTCAGACCATTGAGCCGAATAAAGCATTGCCAAACCCCCAAAACCCCCTACAAGCACCTCTAGAACATCATATTCTTCTTCTGAGACATGAATTAACCGTTCTAAAACATGTTGATCATTTTGTTCTTTTTCTTCATAATCTTTACCACCTATGCACAAAGTGGTTTAATTTTGCCTGTTTGAATTGTAGGCATGGTTCTGTGTCTTGCTTCTTAGGCTTACCTTTGTTTTTGTCATTTAATCAGGGTAAACTAGAAGCTGTAATTTATTCTTTTCACTACTATATGATGTTCCCTTGTGTTATTACATGCTAATTTATATTCCCATTCTATCATTGGTAAACATTTTGTATTGTTTGCTATTTAAACAATGCTGCTATAAACATCTTTGTACATATCTCTTATGTTTACATGTTCAAGTGTTTCTCCAGGTTATGTACATGCGAATGGAATCCTTGAGGTGTAGATAGGGTATATGCAGGTAATGCTAAATCTTTTCCAAAGGGTTTGTGCCAGTTTATACTCCCACTAGCAGGGGATTAGAGTTCTCATTGCTCACACCCACAGTAACACTTGGTATTATCTGGATTTCTGTCACTTTGGTAAAAGTATGAAATGATATCTAGTTAGGATTTTAATTTGAACTTGTCTTACTACTAATGAGGTTGCACACTTTTATCGTGTTTTGGGGCTATTTGTACATCCTCTGTTGTGAAACTCCTGTGTTTTGGGGGTATTTTTTTTCCAGTTTTAAAACTCATAGTCATTAAAATGTTTAAATTGGGTAAAGACTTGTTCAGATGTGTATTTTACGATACTATCATTACGATGGTTGTAGATTTTGAGCTTTTCTTTTTTTTAGGATATGAAGAAGCTAATTATCTGTGATTTCAACTAGAAATAGCAAAGTGGATGTCAGTATGAAAAACAAAGCATGTTTACCTGAGTGGGGTGGATAACATGGACTCTAAAGACCTGCTTCTCAGACATTGGTGTGCATAAGAATCTCCTGATGAGGTTATTAAGACAGATTCTTTTTTTCTTTTTCTTTTTTATCCTCACTCGAGGACATTTTTGCATTTATCTTCAGATAGAGCAGGAAGGAGTGAGGGAGAAAGAGAGAGAGAGAAATATTGATGTGAAAGAGACACATCGACTGGTTGCCACCCACACAACGCCAACCAGAGTCAGGGACAAACCGCAACTAAGGTACGTTCCCTTAGCGGGTACCGAACCCAGGTCTCTCTGGTCCATGGGCCGACACTCTAACCCCTGAGCTAAACCGACCAGGGCTAAAACAGCTTCTTTATCCTCATCCCAGAGATTCAGATGCAGTCGGTCTGGGTGGAAGCCAAGACTTGCATTTCTAACACACTTGCAGTTTATGCTCATGCTGTAGGCCTATGGATCATACCTTTGAGTAGTATGATTTAAGTTATAGCTCTTGGATTTAAGAGGTTCCTAAAATCCAGGAGTTTTAATAAGTGATGTGGGAGCCCTGGCCGGTTTGGTTCAGTGGTTGGAGTGTCGGCCCGTGGACTGGAGAGTCCCGGGTTTGGTTCCCAGTAAGGGCACGTACCTCGGTTGCAATTTGTCCCTGGCCCTGGTTGGGGTCGTGTGGGTGGCAACCACTCGATGTGTCTCTCACGTCAATGTTTCTCTCTCTCACTCTCCCATCCTCTCTCCCTCCCACTTTCTCTGAAGATAAATGCAAAATGTCCTCGGGTGAGGGTAAAAAAATAAAATAAATGATGTGGGAGATAATTTATGGCCATTCAGAGGCATTTTGTTTTAATGAAAGCAGATTTTTATGTCCCCTTAGGCAAGTCACTAATCTTTTTGGACTGAATGTCTGTTATGAAATGGGAAAAATTATACTGGTTCTTCCTACCTTTTATAGTTGTCATGAAGGGTATACAGAAATAAGGCACATGAAAACTCTTTGGAAAACCTAAAACCCTATACCAGTGATTATTAACTGAAAGTGTACACCAGATATCAGCTTTTAAAAGTTTTATGCAGCCCAGCCATTGTGACTCATTGGTTGAGCATCAGCCCATGCACCAAGAGGTCGTTGGTTTGATTCCCAGTCAAGGCACATGTCCAGGTTGTGGGCGCAATCCCCGGTGAGGGGCATGCAGGAGGCAGCTAATTGATGTTCTCTCTCATTGATGTCTCTGTCTCTCTCCCCTTCTCCCTTCCTCTCTCTCTCTAAAATCAATAAAAAAATATTTTTTTAAAAATTTTATGCAGTCTTGTAAACAAAGTGGTATTTGAATCTTTAGCTCTTAACAGTATAGTGCAGTGAAAGTTACTTGAGTACCTACTGTCTGTCAGGCATATGCTAATTAGCATGGATCCAAAGTGGGGGGCGGTCCCTGCCCTTAAGGAACTTTGCTTTATGAGGCGACTGAAATGTGTACAAATGATTTTAATACAGTATATTGATGATAATGATAGAGCCCCATTCTTTGACTGTTGAATAATCTAAAAAGCATAGGAAGAGGAAATGCAAGGAGAGTACTGGAAGCTTGTAAATATATACATTTAAGTGTCCAAAAGTAGGTTAAAATCTGATGTGTAAGTTTTTTCCTGTAGATGAATCAGAACTCCTCACTGTTCCTGATGGTTGGAAGGAACCAGCTTTTTCCAAAGAGGACAATCCCAGAGGACTCTTGGAAGAGAGCAGTTTTGCAACTTTGTTCCCAAAATATAGAGAGGCTTATTTGAAAGAATGCTGGCCCTTGGTACAGAAAGCCTTAAATGAACATGTATGTATATTTTATATACCTCTTTTATATATATATATATTACTTTTTAAGTAAATGTATGTGTGCTGGTTGATTTTATTTTTTTAAAGTGCCAATTTAATTGGTTAATTTGGTTCCTTTGGTATTTTAAACAACCTACATAAACTTTGTCCTTGTAATCCATTTGTTTCTGATTTTGTGAGTATAGAGTCCTTTGAAAATTTCACATACCTTTAAAATTGTATGGATTTCATGGACTGTCTGAAACTCATTTGTGAACTCCAGGTTTCAGAATGCCTACTTGGTGCTATGGTGGTTGCCATGTACTTGTACAATTTGAGTCGAGGCATGTTCCTGTCTAGTTGCTTAATTTTCATTTTAAATGAAAGATGTGAATGTGTCATCTTTGTTGCTGCTGCCATGCCACTAGAGTGGTGTATTTGTTTTTGTTTTTCAAACTGTGGGTTGAAATCCATTAGTGGATCCAGAAGTCAATTTAGTGGATATAACAAGTTTTTAACAAATGAATATATCATATATGCTAAGGGTCATTTTATGAAGCTTTTGGTTCATTTATTTGTGTACTAGGTTGTGACATAAAATATATTTCTCAAACTGAGGGACTGCACTGGAGTTTTTTGTGCCCATTGGGTATGAGGATGGCTCAGCAAACTACAAGCAGTGTTTTACAGCTGTCTACATCTGGGATTGATCTCTCTCTCATAAACTCAGAGATCCAGCTTATGTTGAATAGTTCATCACTGACTATACTGAAATAGACTTTATAATATGCTCACATGTCAAAAAATAATATTTGTATTTGCTTTGTTGAAATCTGGTTCTTTCTACTGAGAGTTGGTGCATAATTTTCCAATAACTGCTTCTTTCTAAACCTGTGATACTTTGTTTTTATTTTGTTTGTGTTTAGCTAATTCAGACCACCTTGAGAAAAAGTTTGGGCAGGAAGTCCATTCTCACTCTAAGGAGCAGATGGTATATTAGAGCCTGGTCTGGGATAGGGAAGCAATGTAGCTTTACAGTTTTACCTTAGGTCTTAAATGGCCTCGTTTGGACTGATGTATATATTTTTAAATTAGAGATTATCTTTATTCCAGTAAGTACAGAATACTTTAAAGCAAGTAAGTATAAATGGTTTTTGTTCCCTGAGTTTCTATATTCTTTTAAGTATGAAAGTAACTACTTTATATTAACTACTCAGCTTCTTCAGGGAGGGAGTTGATAGAATTTCAGAGAGAGATTAATTAATAGTAGTTAATAGTTAGATTTGGATAGGCTCTATAGTATCTAAAATTGAATTCATTTTTAGACAACTACTCTTTTTTCTTTTCTTTTTGTAGCACATTAATGCAACTCTGGACCTGATTGAAGGCAGCATGACTGTTTGTACAACAAAGAAGACTTTTGATCCATATATCATCATTAGGGCCAGAGACCTAATAAAACTATTAGCAAGGAGTGTTTCATTTGAGCAGGTAAGTTAATAACTACAGAGATTTTGCTTTATTTGTGCCATTAGAGACAATATGTAGTACTGAATCCATCCATCCCTGCCTCCCACCCTCCCTCCATAGGGCTTTCATCATTTTGCTTAAATATCAGTGTAGGCTTGGAAAGGAAATGTATTTGTCAAGAATGTTGGTGGAATATTTTCTTTATTTTTTCAAAAGGCAGTACGAATTCTTCAGGATGATATTGCATGTGACATAATTAAAATCGGTTCTTTAGTAAGAAATAAAGAAAGATTTGTTAAAAGAAGACAACGGCTTATTGGTCCCAAAGGATCTACGTTGAAGGTACTGTTTAGCAGTAGAAAACTTGAGTATCTTCTTTGTCATTAGTTTTTCAGTGTATTTCAACTGAATTTCAACTCACTGTTCTTTTGATATAGGCATTGGAACTCTTAACAAACTGTTATATCATGGTTCAGGGAAACACAGTTTCAGCCATTGGACCTTTTAGTGGCTTAAAAGAGGTGAGAAATACCTAATATTTTTAGTTAATTTTCAGCAGAGAACAAATTAAATAATTTGGTTACAATTTATTGTTTCGTTATTATTATTGTATTGTTTTAGAATGTGCTTTGTTTGATTTCCCATTAGTAAATACTTCGTACTTCATGGAATTTGAGGGAGTCATTGCTCCGGGACCCTAACATATTATGGCCAACCTTTGACAGTTACAGACATCCATTTCTCAATTGGAAGGTCTGCACACCATAACTCCTTCCACTACAAATTTTAAATGGGTATTTAAGCTCTTAGTCTCTAGCACATATGAGAAATATGATGTAGTTACATGTGCTCAAATATTAGGGAATTGAGCAGGTGTTATTTGCAGGAACAGATAAACGGTAGAAGTCAAACTCTGAAAACTTTTTTTCCTTTAAGATACATTTTCTTTTGTTTGAATTTATTATAATGTTTATTTAATGTTTTCATGGACTTTTTTTTTAACTTATTATGAGGAAATCCGTCTAGCAGGTACTGTTTCAATTAACTCCCTTTGATGCTGTTGTCTGGATCTGGCTGTGAGGTCTTGCTTCTTCCTTTCCAGGGCCTTTAATGGAAGTCTGTTGGACCTCATTCTTAGAAACGATCTGTTCTTTTCTTATGGGGTGATAATAAATTAAATACACTGAATACTTTATAGTTTTCTAAAGTCTAAATATTTTACTCAGTTCTTGAAACAGACCCTTGAGGTATTTCCATTACAAATGAGAAAGCTGGAACAGGAAAGTTAAGTGGCTTTCTCATAAAATATAGCAGTCCCATTATTTTTGAACCTACATTTTCAGACTCTAAATTTGGCTCTCTTACTCCTAAATTGAAGTTCCAGAGTATTGTAGTAGTTCCATATGTCACATTTTAGCAGTACAATTAAGTAATGTCATTGTACCCAAGGGAGGTTGACTATTATGAAAGATCTAGCAGCTACTAAGAGCAGTTCAAGCAACTATTATTTTAGTTCAGCAGTCTATGTCTGGTTTGTAGGCTATTTTGCAATATAGTAACCCCCTTCTACCTTCTACTTAGTTCATTAAAATCTGTATAAGTGACTAATTCATTTTTCTTTGCAAATTTCAGGTCCGAAAAGTAGTCCTAGATACTATGAAGAATATTCATCCAATTTATAATATTAAAGTAAGTGTTAATTATATATCACCATAACAGTGGTTGTCAGACTTCTTTTAGCTACAGAAACCTTTCTTAAAATTAAAAATTTATAAATGTCTAATAGATAAAACAGATAAAGCAGAGCTATTTTGAGTAAATTAGAAGTAGAGTTCAGCCTACTCATCTGCACCTCAGTCCTGTTGTTACTTCCTTGGAAGCTTGGATCTCTGTAGAGCCCATTATTGAGAGGGACACTGTAATGCATTTATAGAGTTCTAATACAAAGAAAGGCTTCACAAAATTTGTTGTTGATGATTCAATCCGGTTTTCTTAGATTGTGAGCCCGTGTACTATATTTAAAGATGTGATCTTTCAGAACTCTGCCTTTTCTATTAAATAAAGCCTGGAACATTTCAGATTGCATTAAAAAAATTTTTTTTTAATTTAACACTCAAATTATTTAGTTTACCCAAAATTGCTCTGCTTTATCTGTTTTGTATATTAGACTTCTAAGAGAGATCTTTTAATCCCTGTGTGCAAAGTTCATGACTGTTCTTGGAAATGTTGCCATGGTATAATGAGCTGTTTGATGACAGGTATTTGTTGAACTGTCCACTTAAATTTGATGAAGTTAAGTTTAAAAGTCTCTATTAGATTGGGGTGGAAGAACAATTTTGAGTTACATTTGGGACATTAAAGATAAAGAGAGCTTGTCATGCAGCTGATGCCTGTCCTTCATGCCCTCCTCTTCCAATGTCCATAAAATTCAAATGGAGTGGAGGAAATGTGAGAATATTGGTTTTATCTGATCATGAGAAAATTTGCTTTTTTCCCCCTGTGATATTTTATGTGCTACTGAAAGCTTCCTGCTTGTAGAGAATATAATTAAGAACTCTCCCTGCTCTTAAGAATTTTAAGGTTTAAAGAAATAATGATTGAAAAGCTGAATTAGTCTCTTTTTCATCTCAGTTTATTTTAACAATTCTGAACTTCTTAATCTAAATTTCTAATGGTTTTCTGATGCTTGGTTAAAAATTGCAATTACAGCCCAACCGGTGTGGCTTAGTTGGTTGAGCATCATCTCATGTACCAGGAGGTCACTGGTTCAATTCCCAGTCAGGGCACATCTGGGTTTCATCTGGTTTTCAGGCTCGATCCCCAGTAGGGAGCATGTAGGAGGCAGCTGATCAATGTTTCTATCTCCCCCTTCCTCCCTCTGAAATCAAATTTTTTTTTAAAAAAATTTTAAAAATCGAGATTACATATTCTTCTTTTTATGGAGTTGCTTTAACACTACCTAAAAGACTAAGTAAGATCTGTTTATAAGAACAATATTTATATCTTAGTTTGATAAATGTATGACTTTTGAAATTAATTTTTACATTGTTCGTATATTGCATGACCAAAGACCTTAATGATTAAACGAGAGTTGGCAAAAGATTCTGAATTAAGATCACAAAGTTGGGAAAGATTTTTGCCACAGTTCAAGCATAAAAATGTGAATAAACGCAAGGAACCAAAGAAAAAAACTGTTAAGAAGGAGTATACACCATTCCCACCACCACAGCCAGAAAGTCAGGTCAGTATTAAATGTTGAAGTTCATTACATGAGGGGAAACTTATAATCAGTTTTGTCAAAAACTTTATTGAGGGTATTTTAGGTGGCATTGCTATGTGTGTGTATTTGAGTATGTAGAGATACAGGAAACTGAAGGTAAGTGTAAACAGGCTTATTCTGAGCAAGTGCATGGGGGTGGGGGGCTTCACACTGTGAGTGTTAACTATATTAAGGTGGTTGGTGTCGCTCATGTCCCTGTAGCCACTGTAAATATTCCATGGATAAAAAAAGTCAACAATATAGCTCAAAATGCTCTCTACTCTTCTTTAGCATCATTCCTGTGACCGTGAGCTATATGACTGCTCCAATTTTGAAATTTTAAATTCTAATATCTATCCTTTTTCTAAATTAGAATGCATCTCATTTTTTTCATTGTCTTTTGTTTTCCTTTCCTTTACAAAATTTCCTTTTTCGTCTTGCCCTTCATTGTTTTCTTTTGTGCTCCCTTTTCCTTCTATCACAGTTGCCCAGCAAAACTCTTAAGCTTGGGTCAGTCTTAAAACCTGGCTTCTTTTCCATAATGTGGCTACCACACATAGGTAGAGAAAGTCATACCTTTGGATTATACTCACTATCAATTTATGTTTCCACCTAAGGTTCTCTGTATTGTCTCCCAGGTCTGTGAATCTTCTTAATTTTCTAGGTACCCTCCCACTCCTAGCAGATGACATTGAATTTTATTTTACTGAAATATTTGAAATCATCAAGTAAGAATTCTTTCAACTTCCTCTTCTGTCACCTAAATTTTCCCATCTGCATCAAACCTTTCTTTACTTGCTCTTTTAATTCTGTCTTCACCTATCTCCTGAGGGTTCTTGCTTCGTTATTCCCTCCATCAGATACTCTTCCCTTTCATACAGTTCTTTATGCGCAGCATATAAACCCATCGCCTTCTGGATACTGGGGAAAAAAGGAATGATAATCATCATGGTGAAAAAACAATGGAACTATTGGATTATGAGGTTTCTTCTGGAAAGGGAAGAAGGTGAAGCGAGAAAGAAACTGATAGTTGTGGGAAAGAGGAGTGACCCACTTACCATGCTTCCGTAACACCTGCTGTACTCCTTATGGCCCTGTCCTAGTTAGTGATTGTCTTATCTTTCTCCCCTACAACTGTAAGCTTCTTGAAACTGAGGTCTCAACTGATTTTTCTGCCATTTGTTTGCTAATAATTTATTTAACCCATGCATGCCTCAGTTTCCCCATTCGTAAAATGGGGATAATGATAACACCTATCTCAAATAATTGTTAATGAGGATTAAATGAATTAGTAATTATAAAGAGCTTACAACTGTAAAGAATTTAGAACTTTGCCTTAAGATATAATAACGATATGTATATATAAGACTATATAGTGCGTGAACTGTAACTTTCTCTAATTAGTGTTTCATTAGTCACCAAATCCTGAAAATTTTTGCTTTTCATTTTGCATGCCACTATCTTTATTCCAGGATTTTATCTGTTCTACATTCTTTTGTACCTTAAAAAAATGCTGCTCTGGCCTAGCCAGAGTAGCTCAGTTGGTTGAGCGTGGGCCCATGCACTGAAAGGTTGCAGCTTCAGTTCCTGGTCAGGGCATATTGTTCCTGGGTTGCGGGTTTGATCCCCAGTCAGGGAGCGTATCTCTCTCGCATTGATAATTTCTCTGTCTCTCTCTCCCTTTCTCCCTCTCCTTCTCCCTTCCCCTCCCCCCTTCCTCTCTCTGAGCATGTCCTCTAGTGAGGATTGACAGGGAAAAAAAAATCTTACATAAAAAAAAAAATGTGCTTTGGTCTCTTCACTCTTCTCAGAAACTTCAGTCATTTCCAAATCATGTCCCAGTTCCTTCGTCTGGCATTCAGGTTTCTTCAAGCTTCCTCAGAAGTGTTTTTTCAGTTTCCTATTACACTTTGAGTTATTGACCTTCCACCCTACTTAATGCGGTCTATTGTGTATTAGAGTAACTCACAGCCCCCTTTCCTACCTCCACATATTCCCTTTTGGGCAAATACTCCCTTCAGCTTAGAGTACGTGTCCCTCTTTTTTTCTCACTGTCTTTATGAATTAATAGATTTTTGACTCCACTGTCTTTACCTCATGGACGTTGTGGCTTTCTTAGAAAATGACTCTCGCCCTGCCCGGTTTGGCTCAGCGGTTAGAGCATCGGCCTGCAGTCCAGAAAGACCCGGGTTCGGTTCCCGCTAAGGGCATGTACCTCAGTTGCAGTTTGTCCCCGATCCTGGTTGGTCATGCAGGTGGCAGTCACTTGATGTGTCCCTTTCACTTCGATGTCTGTCTGTCTGTCTCTCTCTCTCTCTCTCTCCCCCTCCCTCCCTCCCACTCTATCTGACAAAAAATGAAAAAATGTCCTCGGGTGAGGATAAAAAAAAAAGAAAATTACTCTCATCTACATTATTTCTGATGGAACTTTAAATACTGATTTCAACAGATTGATAAAGAATTGGCTAGTGGTGAATACTTTCTGAAGGCAAGTCAAAAGAAGCGACAGAAAATGGAAGCAATAAAGGTAAGACTATATCTAGCTCACAACATTAATGGCAAAGTTCATAGAAACTTGAATTCTTATTTAACTGTAAATTGTGTTTTACTAATGTATTTTGTATTAATAATGTAGGCTAAACAAGCAGAAGCTCTCACTAAGAGACAAGAGGAAAGAAACAAAGCTTTTATTCCACCTAAAGAAAAACCAGTTGTGAAACCTAAGGAAGGTAAAGCTTGTTTTCCAGCTCTTAGTTTGATGTAAAAGTCTGTTACATGAAAAGTAAACCTTAGTGAATTTATCTAAATCTCTTTGAGTGTTAAGTAAAGAAGTAACCATATGCCCTGGCTGGTTTGGCTCAGCAGTTAGAGCATCGGCCCACAGATCAGAGGGTCCCGGGTTCGGTTCCCGCTAAGGGCACGTCGTACCTTGGTTGCAGTTTGTCCCCGGCCCCAGGTGGGGTTGTGTAGGTGGCAACCAGTCAATGTGTCTCTCTCACATCGATGTTTCTCTCTCTCTCTCTCTTCCTCCCTCTTTCCTTCCCACTGTATCTGAAGATGCAAAAAAAAAAAAAAAAATGTCCTTGGGTGAGGATAAAAAAAAAAAAGAAAGAATCATATCGTCCATTAATTCACTTAGCATTTCATTAATCACTAATCCTAGGGACAGGAGACAGCTGAGGTAATTTATACTTTGGTAGAACTAATGCCATCTAAGTACCTAGACTGAGAGTCCTCTCCTGACCTCTGGGTGTGCTTGGGAAGGACCTTTTGTTTTGAAAGATGTAAACCACAGCAGTGACCCTTCTGTAAAAATAAGAGTAAAGCCGTGTGATCCCTGAGCTCTGCTCTCATGCCTCTCAAAAAGAGTTTATCAGAAGTCGTGCTTTTCTTCTCTTACGTGATCTCTGGCCTAAAGTTTGCGTCGTGTATTGTTAACATGGGTTTCTCATCACCTTGGGCTAAAGGACGCCAACAAAACGATGGGAAGGTTTTATTCAGGAGCTATTTACACAGATGCTTAGAAAAAACACTTCATGCCTTTTCTTCTCCATTCTTAGCCTTGTTTTGATTCATGCTCCTCTTTTGCATTTTCTTTTCTACTAGTAACCTTGTACTGTTTCTAAAATAACTACCAAGCGGCTATGGCACAGTGAGGGGAGGGGTGTCACCGGCAGCATTGCACACCACCTATTGGTCAAAACCAGATTTAGCATTACTGTTTTACCCTCTTACATTACATCAGTGTTAACCACTGTAAAAATACTATATTCTACTATGTAGATCATTGGTTAAGTAAAAGTTAATGTCATAAGCACTACATTTCCACTTTGTACAATATGTCAGTTATGTTCTTAGAAGGTAGTTCAATAGTTAATCTCACTTTATTAGGATTAAAAATGTGGCTGTTCCACTATACTGGAGGCTTTAAATCTCTGCTCCTCAAGTTGCTGGGTAGTTTATATGATGATATTTTATCTTGGTGAATTTTTTATGCTCTGAAGACCATTCTTTAAGTGGTAAGAAAAGTTGTATTTTCTCGCTACTTCCTTGCTCTATTTTGTTCAAGCTTTTGGCATTGATTAGCTGGTTGAGTTCTGTTACGAGGACCTCTAAATACTTTCAGATTATTGTTTTTTTTACCAAATTCTTGTTAAGTAAAATTTTGCTAGTCATTTATTGAACTAACATTTGGAAAAAAATTTTTGTGGTATTAGATGAATAATACCTTCATTAGTTAATGTAACTGATAACTTCATTAGTTAATTAAAATTAGGGAAGCTGGAAGGACTACATGTAATGTTTTTCCTGAAATGTAATCTAAAATTATTTTAACATGCAAGGTGGAAAATTGGCATATTAATGAGTACTGTAAAGTTCCAAAATGTGGAAAAGAGTAAGTAAAACTAATCTACTGGAAACAGCTGGTCTCTGATGCATATTTGGAGAAAAAGAGGAAAACTGGTCCCATGAGTTAGAGTCAAACCTCAGTGTTACTATCAAAGAGATATCTAGGTTTTCCTCCTGTTTGTTTTTGCCTTAAAGTAGTAAGTATCACCCTAACACTGTAAAAGTCTGAATGAACTTTCATCCTATGCTTCCTCCACAGATGGCATGAGAGGGTCAGTGAATGTGTCCAAAAAATATATAATTTAAAGTGTGGCTTAAGGGGCAAATGTAGTTTTAATATAATTTAATCCACTTGAATCCAGTAATTGGTTTAGATAGCTAAACTAGAATGTCATTTTCATGTATACGTTCACTAATATATTTTTTAAGTATTTTATGATTTTTTTTTCTGTTAAAGAAATTTCTAACTTGCCTTTAGGCAAATGGCAGGTGTTTTATATTTTATAACACGACCTTCCAATGAACAGTATTCTGCAGTTATTGTCCTAAATATATACCCTTTATATTTATTTGGTAAAATCTAAAGAATTACGTATGTTGTGTTTTAAATTTGTCTAGCTTCTACTGAAACTAAAATTGACGTGGCTGCCATCAAGGAAAAGGTAAAGAAGGCAAAGAATAAGAAACTGGGAGCGCTAACAGCTGAAGAAGTTAAGCTTAAAATGGAAGCCGGTGAAAAGATAAAGAAGAAGAAAAAGTAATATACACGCACAAAAATGCCCTGAACTAGAACTTATTAAACTTCTCCTTTTGTAAAGGACTTTGCGATACTAGGTCATTAGTTGCCTTATATGTGAGAAGTAATACTCGAATTACTTTTTCTGAGTTTGTTGTGTTCTTTATAAATATAAATTATTGTATTCTCCGTGGTTTTTGAAAAATTTTATACTGGAGAGTGTATATATGTCTGTATACATTGCACCTAATCTGTTCCAGGCAGGCTTGGTCTAGCATGATTTTAGGAGTGATTCTTTAGGTTGTTTATATAAAGATTTTTAGGATGTAGCTTTTGTAATTATCCATCAAATCAAATGTCTGATACCATTGGTTAGTCTTTAAATACAGGGCGGAGCAAAAGTAGGGTTACACTTGTGAGTACTCGAAACAGAGTTTATTCTTGTATTATTTATTAATTATTGTATTATTTTCTGTACGAACCACTGTAAACCTACTTTCACCCCAACCTGTATAACTGTGTCCCAGCATTTGGTTTTGAGGAAAATAAATGCAGGCTTTTCATTGCTCTCTCTACTGATAACACACATTTATGCTTATTCCTTTCTGTAACCTTACATTTTGTTCCAAGATTCAACAACCCATAAGCAAAAAAAAGCAAGGCCTATTAAATCAGATTCCTTAATTACTATTCTGTTCTGAGTCTGGGAATGTGATAAACCAGAAAGACATCAAATTGTACATGGGTAAAACCAGATATTTAGAGTTGAATCAGCATGCAACAGGTTATGTAGAAATGTTTTTACTCATGAAGGCCAATGGAGTTATTTAGAATCACCTAAATCTAGCTCACTCATTTTAGGTTACTTACTGAAGGTCACAGTGTGGTAGCCTGAAAACAGTGCTTATTCATAGAAAAGTGGGAAGTAAATGTGAGTTTATCCTATAGAATTAGGAAGTTTCTTTTGGTTATGGCTTTACTGTAATAATGTACTTTTTTCTGGAATGTTTTAAAATTTGAAGTACACCCAATTATTTTTTAAAATCATCTATAAATGAGTTTGTAAGCTTTTTTCTAGGATTGTATTAGTCCAGAAGGACTAAAAGAGTCTATTTGTGCTTGACCAAAATGGTAATAATAGCACTCAGTATTAGTATTGGTGGACTAACAATGAGAAAGAGTGATAGGTATCTATTATGTGAATATATTGCCCAGTCTGGAAATAGAGTAATCTGTGAAACAAACACAGTATCCTCTTAATTGTTGTTTCTCATACTGCAGTAACCTAATTCACAAATATCTTAATGAAACAATTAAGATTTATATACATATGCATGACTTGGTCTCACTGTGGGCTAGCTGTAAAGTCAGAAAAGAAAAAAATTAAAAGAGTAGGTTCTGGTCAGGCTTTTGTTTTGTTTTTAAAAGCCAAGTTTCTAATTATAACCATTAACTTGCTTTGGCTTTATTGCAGTGATTTTCAAAGGTTAATTTTTAAAGATTTTACTGTACTAACTGTATTAAGTTGTTATTTTTAAAGCAACTTTATACATAAACTTTTTATATACCACTACTGTAAATGGAAAATCATTTTACATACCATATCTAGCAGATAATTAATACAATTAAAATGGAAATTAAGACATTAGAATTTTTCAATAAAAATAAAGAATTAATTGTTTGTAATACTCAGTGTGAACAATTTATTAAAATATTTTCCTAAAAATAAGCTCCTCCCTTAGAAGAATGATACTATTTATGATCAGTCAGTAAAGGAGACAGTGGCCTCTCTCTCTCATCCATTCCAGTATGTCAGTAAATTACAAAGAGGGCATTTGTCAATCAGTCATAATTACTCTTTAACTGAGCTTTATTCAGACTTTGACATTAGAGAACTAGGAAGAAACTCCACATCTGCCTTAGACTTCTTGGCATGTGTAAGCCTCCAGGAAAATGAAAATTGACCTTCTGTGGAATGTATGAGAGATAACTGTTGCCCTGGCCCATTTGCTCAGTGGTTAGAGAGTCAGCCCACGGACCGGAGAGTCCCAGGTTCGGTTCCCACTAAGGGCATGTACCTCGGTTGCAGTTTGTCCCCGGCCCCAGTTGGGGTCGTGTGGGTGTCTTTTTTACATCGATGTTTCTCTCTCTCTCTGTTCCTCCCTCTCTCCCTCTCGCTCTATCTGAAGATGAATGCAAAAGCGTCGATGTTTTTCTCTTTCTCTCTCTCCCCCTCCCACTCTATCTGAACAAAATATCAAAAAATGTCCTCGGGTGAGGATTAAAAAAAAAAATTGTTGCTGCACCTGGAGTAAAGATGGGAATTAAGTGTTCACATCAGGAGAAAGGGAACAAACAGTTTTAAATATTTTTATAATTTTAGACCTGGAAGGGGCCTTAGAGAACATGGAACACTTTTGCCAAACAAAATCTACACAGTTGAACTCAGTCCACTCTATCCTGCCTCTGACTCCAAGAACCCCACCCTGGCCTGGAGCTCTGGGAGTTCAGTTGGTTACAGATGTAGACACAAAAATACTACAGGATTTGCACAACTCTAATAGCTTGATTGAGGTTTCCTTTCCTTGCATCATGGGGGAAAATTGAAAACATGGCCAGTTAAGGGTTATTATTTCAAAATTACAATGCAGAATTTTGCTAGGACATTTTGTAAAACATCCTTGAAGTTATCTTCCTTGGCTTTCCACACTGTTTCTCATTAAATGCTGTTTTACTCATTTAAGAAATGCCACATTACAGCTTATTTCATTCATTCTACAGATGAAAATGCAGCCTTGAGTGCCTTGGACAAGTAGTATCACAAAATTCAGAATCCTGTTCACTTGAATAGCTTCATTATGCAAATTTTTTATCTTGCTGAAATTAGCAAATCTTGGGTCTATAGTTTTCAACACCATAGTCATTTTTTGTTGTACTGATTAGAGCTAAATAAAAAGGATACTATTTGCTTTCTTAAATTTATCTTGAACATGTATTCATTCCTAGGGCAATAAGCCATTGGTTTGATGGGGACGTGCTGCGAGCTTCCTGAAAATAGCTGTTAGTATGAAACAAATGTCTGCATTCTTAACTGTGGAAAGTTACAGTAGTTTCAGATACACTGTGTTACTGGTAGATTGTTTCTTTTACTCACCGCACAGATTGTCCAAACATTTGTCATTTTGGGGGCAAGCACTGCAAGTGGATCCTCTTATATGACCAAGTGGAGTAATTTCCTCTAGAAAGTAGAAAACTGTCCATTAGGAGAGATTTTTTAATTTTGTTTTTCAATTGCAATTTTTTTTTTTTAATCCTCACCCGAGGACATTTTTGCATTTATCTTCAGATAGAGCGGGAGGGAAGGAGAGAGAGAAACATTGACGTGAGAGAGACACATCAACTGGTTGCCACCCACACAGCCCCGACGAACCTCAACCGAGGTCCGAGGTCCGTGCCCTTAGCAGGAACCAAACCCGGAACTCTCTGGTCCCCGGGCCGACGCTCTAACTGCTGAGCCAAACTGGCCAGGGCTCAATTGCAATTTACTATGAATCCTTGACTAAGCCCATAGGATGGAAGTCCACGGATTCAGAGGGTTGGTAGGAGAAGTGGAGAGAGGGAAGCAGACATGAAAGCATGTTAACATTTAGAGTTTGTACTGTGTGCCTGTCTGTGAACCTGTATCTACATCTCATTTAATTCTTAAGACAACTCAGTGAAGAAGATATTTGTATTTTATAGATAATAAAACTAAAGTTCTAAAGATTAATTTGCCAAAATCACAATGTGTATCACGATGTATGTCAGTCAGAATGAAACCTGGATTTGTCTGGCCCCAGGGCACTGCTCCCTCTAACTGCGTGGCCTGCGTGGTTGCTGCCACCACACACTGTCCATCAGAGCAGGCCTTGTGTCCCCCACTTCCTGTCCTCCGTCTGCAGCCCTCCATCGCTTCTGTGATGGGAGCCATGTGGCTGGAAAAGCACCCAACAATAAAAAAGATATGGGGGAATTTCTAAAGTGCAGTTTGTTTTCACATAAAAGATGTGATATGGCCCAGCCAGTGTGGCTCAGCGGTTGAGCATCAGCCCATGCACCAAGAGGTCGCCGGTTCGATTCCTGGTCAGGGCACATGTCCAGGTTGTGGGCCTGATCCCCAGTGGGGGGCATGCAGGAGGTGGCCAGTCGATGTTCTCTCTCATCAATGTTTCTATCTCTCCCTCTCCTTTCCTCTCTCTCTCTAAAATCAATAAAGAAAAAAAAATTTTTTTTAAGATGTGATATGAATAATAGGTATTAATCACTGAATACTCATGTGTTCATTATTAGCCTTAATAAATATTAGCCTTAATAAATTAACCTCATCCCTATGAGGAAGGTACAGTTATTTATTTATGGCCATTATATAACTAGAGGCTGAGGCACAGAATATAAGTAATTGACCATGGTCACAAACTAGAAAGTGGAATAATATCCAGACATTTTATATCCCCATGAATATCTTCACAGTAGTAGTGAAGAGCTGTGCATTTATTCCAGTGAACATGCAGTTGCAGTAACCCTTTCTGGAAAAGAGTTCTTAACTTTTTATGCCATGGTGGTACCCTTTGGTAGCCTGGTGGGCCTATGGACTCTTTCAGAGAAGAGTTTAGTTTTCTTTGTTTGTTTGTTTTATTTATTTATTTACTATACAGGAACTCTATTTTTTTTTTTTTTTCTCTCCTCACCCGAGGACATTTTTATTTCGATATTTTGTTCAGATAGAGTGGGAGGGAGGGAGAGAGAGAGAAACATCGACGTGAAAGGGACACATCGAATGGCTGCCAACCACACGACTCAACCAGGGCCGGGGACAAACTGCAACCGAGGTACGTGCCCTTAGCGGGAAACAAACCCGGGTCTCTGGACCGCAGGCCGACGCTCTAACCACTAAGCCAAACCGGCCAGGGCAAGAGTTTAGTTTTAATGCATACCAAAGTTCATAGGATTATAAAGGAAAACAAATTGAAAATTGTCAAAATGGTAAGAAAATTGTGATATAGTAATATGTGCTTCTCTATTGAATATTAGATCTAAGATCTAGCAGGGAGTCGAATGATTACATGAATTTTAAAGTAGTGATGGATAAAAACAGATCATCTGCAGCTACTGGAATGTGATATGAAAATAACTGATGTTTACAGAGATACAAGTGCCAGTACAAAGTCACAGGTGTTGCTGATGAGACTGGAGTGTTACCATCATTCATAATGAAATGTTACTTTCTGTAGAGGTTAGTGAAAATAAAGATGTTCCTTTTTTCTAATCCAGGTTCAGGGACCCCTCTCTTCTAATACTATACATTTACCTCCAAAGTTATCCTCCCCTTTAGAAACATTATGTTAACACCTCATTTTCAACCCAAAGTATATGTCCTAATCTCATTTGGCTCCAAATTAATTTAGGTTGTTTTGGAAATTAAATTTACCCTCTTGCTTACTCTATACTTTAGAAAATAGTCAAAGGAATGTAGTACAGATTCTGATAACAATTCCAAAAACTAGCCAGAGAAACTCCAAAACATTCCACACTTCCTTAGTTTCCGTGAGAGTGTAAAAAAATAACAGTTTCAAGAGGATTTAGGTGGGGTGCGGTGGGGTGGGGATAAGAACAAAAATGAGACAAAAATTGATGGAAATTCAGGCATAAATGGAATTACCAATGACAGCACCGAAGCCAGGTGTGTCTTTGCAAAAGACAACCTGACACCGTATGTGAACACTGCAAAGTTAGGGTGGGAGCAGAAGTGAACTTTATGGGGGTTGAGCTGAGTGTGAAGCGAGGGCCGGAGCGGCAGGTGGAATTCACCTCCAAGATGAACTATTTTAAATTCATGTAAAGCAAGGGGTTCACATAAAGACAGGTTCGAGGACACATTCTTTGGGAAGGGGACCACTAAAGGCCACGCTGCCCCCTTTAACCCAGCCCTTCAAAGAGGTAACAAGCAAGGTCACCAAGAGCTCAAATGACAACTCACTGTACAATGTGGGCTTGCCACCAGCTCCTCCAAGGCCATACACACAAGGTGACGGAAAGAACACTGTCCCTCCCAGGAGCGAGCCTCGCCTTGCCCCTCCCTCCGCTTCCCCCAGGCTCTTTACCTTCACCTTCCTTTCTCCCAGGCTCCAAGGGCCCTTCTTTTCCCTCTGTAACTTGTTTCCTGAGCCCATTTCTTCTACCGTTCACTTCTACCTGTGACTTTCTAAATAAAAATTTTTTAAAGGAGAAAACAGGTTGCAGGCATTGCCTCCAGTTTTCTAGATATTATCCCACATCTGACTGGCCATCATTAGGGAGCACATGCTAGAATAATCTCCATTGTGCAGACAGGAGACAGACAAACCACATGAGGCACAATGGCTTATCCAGGATCCATAGTGGTAAGAATGTGGGGTAGAGTCTGAACACAAGTCTGTTTCAAGGTTGGGACCGTGGCTGCACCAGACCTTCCCAGGGAGCTAT